ACATGGCCACTGAAGTTAGGTAGAGAAAACTAGCCTGAAAATTACCCCGTTGGTTTTTTGTGATAGGGTTCGTTTATATATTATCATGTTATACTGATATTTAAATTTACAGTAACGCGATTTCGATTTCGATATTTCCGTAAAATACCAGGATAACTAACGAAATAACACCAGTTGATGTTTGTACATTATTAGGAGTTGACATAGATAAACATTTAAATTGGAAAAAAACACGTACAAAAACTGAAAGCTAAATTGTCTAAATTTACATATGCTTTAAGGGAATCAAAATAAACTTTCAAACTGCTTTATCTACCAATTATGCCTACGCCTACGCTTGGTTAAACTATGCCATAATTCTATGGGGCAATCGCACGGATACGCCTAGTCTCTTCACTATACAAAAGAAATTAAATAGAGTTCTCACAAATATAGCCCAAACAAAAAGTTGTAAACCCCATTTTATCAAACATAAAATCCAGACTGTCCCTTGTATCTATATACTAGAAATATGCAAATTTGTACGAAACTATCAAGACTTATATCAAAATCGTGACGACATCCCAACTAAATATGCATTTCGAAATAGAAAGAGATTGGCAATACCATATTCTAGATTAAATATGCATTTCTCTAGCCCATACGCCATGTCAATAAAAATATTATAACAAACATCCGGAGGGTATAAAAAATGAACAAAGCAACAAATATTTTTTGAAAAACTTAAAGAATATACTAATATATAAAAGCTATTATAATGTAAAAGATTTTTTAGAAGATGAAATTCTTAGTATCTAAGTTTTGTTAACTAGTTGTAAACATACCTATTTATTTAAATTTAGTTTTAGTTGCAATAGAAAAAGTACATATTATAAAAACATTAAATTATATAAAACTGTTGATAGATATTTAATTAATTATATATTAAGTAAATGTAACAATTATGACTAGTCCTCTTTCCTACTATTTGTTGTGCCCATAATTCAATGTACATTATATTATGGAATTCAAATAAATGAGAATAAAGAACAATATGTTTACAAGAATAAAGATATTCCTTGTTCCAGTTACCACTGTCAGCCTTTGTGGGTCGGCCGCTGTGACAGGTTGGAAGAGGCATCGGATCGGATAATCGCTGCGCTTATGCCTTGCGCCACGCAACCTGTTTCTAGGTTTTCTATTAGGTAAAGTGGGTCACACTAAGATAAACAAACAGCAGATTAAATTTTAAATGCCTCTAAAGCAGTTATAAATATGACAGTTTATTATATAGCGTGACCTTTTTGTGAGTGCGATGTAAATACTAAAAACATTGAAATGTCTATGAATGACTTAGGTATGTAAAATTATGATGTAGTATGATTTGCTCAAACATTTATTTCAGGCGTCAAAATACTGTCCAAACCAGAAATGTCGAATGTGTGAAGAAATAAGACTGCACCACTAAATTTGATATTAATTTCCAGGCACGCTGCCCATAAAGTGACTGGCTACATCGGGAGGTGGCTTAAAATAGCTACGTGACAAATTAGCGAAGTGTACAAAATACTGTATTTTTTTTTTCTTTTCTATTTGTAGATACAACAAACCGGATTAACGAGCTAAATTTTTTTAATAAAATATGTTTTACAAACTGTTGTAGGTGTAAGCTTGATGCAGAATGATTTTATTTAAACCTCAATCCCACTTCTTTTTCTTACCTTTATAGAACATCTGTACCTTATAGTTAATTGCATTTAGGCTGACTATAAGGTACATGCTTACGTGTAGTGCCAGAAATTATGTATTTTCAGTAACCGGCCCTACTAACCTTGCTACAGTTTGAGATGCAATATTTTCAGGAAGTGGTACCATTAACCTTGTTATGGTAACGGCAGTTGAGTTGCGCTTAATTGAAACTAGTCATACCCACACGTGATTAGTTCTTTCGTCCCATCGCTTACTTTCACACTGAAGATTTAGAAGTTCAAATAGCAATGCAATGAAAACAATACTTTCGTAATTCTGCGTGTGACACGCCAACTTAATACAAACGTGGAAAAATAGGCAACTTCGCGAAAACCGCTACAGTGCACCGGTATATTTAGATAAATATATCTACTCACCATTTGTACCGGAACACGTACCACGATACGTGTATTTTTCTCTGATTACGGGTGTCTAATAAGCCCTTAACTATACAATGTGACGTAGCAACAACGTTACCTACACCTTGCTTCGAGTAAAGTGTTAGGCGCCCAACCAATTAGACTTAAATGCATGTATAAGTAGATACTAAAATCAATATTGATTACAAATAAGGCTGTACTGTAAGTGTAATGTCACACCTGTCGCGTCCTATAATGCTATGGTAAATGATAAAAATATTTGTAAAGGTAAACAATAATGCTAGGTAAAAAAATACTATGATCAGTTTTAATTTCGGTATTTAGTATGACACAAAATTTAAAATCAAAAGCGAGTGATGTGATATCAAATTAAAATGCGAACTTGAAACGGTGACTCGAAGGACACTACAGAGAAAACTCCGGACAGTCTGATTTGCAGCGCCGTAACTATAATTATAGGCATTGTAACAGGTGTGGTTAGTTGGTGGTAGCGTAAGCTGAGACGCTCCAATTTTAAAAATTCAAAAAACGCGAATTGTGTTCGCTGTGTTGGCGATTTAAGCAAACATGTTTGTGTTATCGAATGTAACAATGTTTTACGTCAAAAATGTCAGACAAAGATTCGTTCTACAAACGAAACGCGATCAACACAGGTAACACGTTCGCAATTATTGATTCTTCAACCACTTACTTAAATCTTATAGTACGAAAACGGTCCAAAATTCAACATATGACTATGCTGTGTATTTATCAACCATGGACCAACAACTCAAGAGGACTGCTAATCTTCATGATCGTAACTCTGAAAAAGGTTAGAATTCCGTTTTATATCTAGATGGCGCTGATCAATAGCTTGGAAGTAATTTACGTCATGTAAATGGCCGTGGATATCAATTAATTCCTGTTTAATATGTATTTTATAAGAAGTGAGTTTATTTCTTATTTCATATTATTCAAACATTGATCATGAGCTAAAATTGTTTACTGGACTTTAACAACTTGTCAATAAATGGCCTTGTCCGCTACAAACCAAAAAAATTGAGAAAAAAATAAAAATCTGTACAATTTGCTTGTTATCACTAGAATTTAGAGTAGCTTTGATATATTGCAACTTGTCAATGTAAAACAAATTGGATAGAAAAATAGCTATTTGAAAGAAAAAAAAGTAGTTTATTTGTTATGACAAAAATATTTGACAGAATGATAACAAAAAATAAAATAACCTTATGATAAAACTCAAAATAAAAGAATTACATTTAAAAGTTACCAAAATGATCTTCACTCAGCTTTTTGGAACAAGACGTGTGAAAACACCTCGTTACGCTGGTTTTCAGTGAAGCCGAATAAATAACAAGGATGATTTAGTACTCGTCGCGACATCTAGTGTGGCAATAGGTACTAAACACTCAATTACGCTGTCTTGTATCGCAATTAGCAGTTTTGTTGAGTTATTGGTCCATAATAGCAGCAAAATATATCTAGGTATCCTATAAAAAATAATATTAAAATATCTGTACTGTGACGCCACTGTGTGATACGTGACTGAATAACCATACTTAGTTGGATAGCATAATACAGCAACGAAACGCAAAAATTTTTTTCAATGGCAACGACGCTTCCATCGCCTTGCCATACATGTCACAATCGACTGTCACTTGAGTTTCGAAATGGAGTATCGGACGTGTCCGTAACAATAATAATTGCCCTTTTTAGTTAATTGTCATGCTATCAGCAATTTAACAGCTGTTTCAAACACCGCTTTTGATTATGTCCGTTTTGTGTAAAGCTTTCCGTTCAAAATCGCTGCCGAAATATGGAAGAGGTAAGTGATTTAGGTTACGTTCTGTACTATATTTTGTTGTGTCATAACATTGTGTGGTAATTTTGCAATGGGTTTGTGCAGGAGCTTAACGAAAATGAGCTGGAGGAACGATTTTATTCCATGCTGCATTATGTAGATGAGACACCAGAGAATATTGTACCGACTCAGGATGCTTCTAAGATCATTGAGAGCGCACCGCGCACCACTCTGCGTCGGTATTGGCGCACGAGCGGTGACCGCGACACTACCGCTCACTACAAAGAAAACAATCCGTATCAGAAGGTAAACACCACGAGAGAAACTCCACTCAACAAAAATAACACAGACAAACCAAAAACTAAGGACGAGAAGAAACAATTATCTTCTGATGCTCTCCCTCAACATTTGGCTATATTTCAATCTCCAATACCACAAAACATTAAGAAAACCATTGAGATCATAGAGAATGATGATAGTGGACACATTGTGGAGCTGGAATCAAGTGATGAGGATGAAGTCATTGAAGTGGCTCTACCACCAAAGCCAACCATCACTATTGAAAGTTCAGATGAAGAGTCCCCAATTCGGACTGATACAACAACCAAGGGCAAAATGAAGCTGTCAGGTCAGGAAAGAACCACTAATAATTATGAAAGAGAAGTATCAGCTAGTCCCGTTCCATCAGTTGTATCGTCAGTGTCCGATGAATTTATTCGAAGTGATTGCATTGCTCTGAACATCTCTTCCAAGCGGCCAGACAACCACAGCTTTGACTTCAGCCTCCATGGAGCCGAATTTCTGAACCAGGGCACTCCTTCTAAGAAAAAGAAAAAAAAGAAAAATAGGGAGAGTGCAACGTCAACGTCTATTGTTGCTGAGAATACATCCATACCCCCAAATACAGAGGAATGTTTTGCAACACCAAAGAGTAAAACAAAGAATAAAAAGCAAAAAAATAGATCATATGCTGCAATGGACAAAAGTATTCCGACTGCTGATCTGTATGATTCAGACAGCAACCAATCAATTATTGATAAAGACCAGAAATCATACACTGTCACTGAGAAAAGTCTACCTAATGCAGATGTCTATGAATCAGACTCATCGGAGACAGTTCGCATCCCTTCTCACATTGCTACAGCAAATGACAAACAGAAAAACAGGCTCGCTGATAGCAACACATCTTTGGATAAACAACAGACACCGAATTTGAAACGTAAAAATTCAACTCATGAAATTCCAGAGACTGTGGTAACAATAGTTGATTTGACAGACCAAACACCTGGAGACAATATTCTTGAAAGCATTGTTATGGGGAATGTCACCGGTTTTAAGGAGTCTGAAGATTATGGAGATGAACCTTTACAGAACCCCACTGAAGCACTTGATGTTACAAAGTATGGCTCTACAAAAATCCCAGCAATTCTGTATGAAGATCTTGACTTTGACAATTTGAAAGGCAAAGATAAAGTGTGCAAAAATCGCCGGTACTCTCTTACAACACTTCGGGCCGAGATGGAAAAGTTTTACAATGAAAGCTGGGGCGGAGAGAACTTCAATCATCGAGAAATACAAAAGAACATGTCAAGTAAGTTGCTTCCTTTCTTTGATATATATATATTATATTTGTTTCATGTACATGAAACAAAGCAATCTACAGTCGATGACCTGGAGTAAACAACAACATTGATAGTTGTTGGATGTTTTGTTATTATATATAAACTTTAATTTATCAATGTAATAATCAATTACATAATCAATTAAAAATTATCTGGGTGACTAAAATCACCTACAATTTGTGAAACATAAAATATTCCAATGAGAACAATAATAAAATCCAGGTAGTGCATTGTTGTTCACAATTAGAGAATTAACTAATAATACCTATTTACTAATGCAAATCTACTGCTGCCATTATTCTAATCTGCTTCCTGTCCATTAAATTATAACAAAAATTAATATTCAGTTTCTTTAATTATTATACAAATACACATATACATTCAGAATAAAAATTGTCCTTGGTAATTACCAACTACCAAATTTTACTTTATATTACAATTTTATTAAAATTTATGTAATTAGGTATTTATTTATATTGGTATTTTGCGGTTACAGGAGATAAAAGCTTATGGGCGATTGATCCAAAGGATAGAATGCCTGCTCTTTGCAGAAAGAAAACAAGCGTGATGTAAGTTTCTTGTTTTGTATTTTATTTATTACTCCTTTTTTTATAATGCCAAGTGACGGGACAAACAAGTCGTGCGCCTGGTGGTAAGCGACACGCCTATCCATAACAGGTTGACAGGTCCCATGTGGCTGTAATAACACCAGCACCTTTACCCTTAAAGCCGTAACGCAGTAATGCGCACGTTACTGCTTAGCGACAGAAATGGATAAGGTAATGGGTAACTTCCCTGGATGGACTCTTTCACAACAAAATAATGGTAAGTAATATAACAAATAAAGCCAGTCTCGTAAAAATAGGTTTCCATGCTTAAAGGATTGGTGTTTGGTTAGTTAATCTTTTTTAAATCAGATTAGTTTTTAATTTTTACAGTGGGCACTTAAGAAACAAAGGGTGTTTAATGTAATTTCAGGTACAGGACCTGATTTTATTACAATTATTTTATACTATCTTCAATCTCCTCAAATTATACAAAGTGCCACTCTACAGTGTTGCCACATCCATGTAGCTACAATTCAAAATGACTGTTGGTTTAGTAGATTTATTTCATTACTGTTTTATTTAGTGACTGAAGTGTCGCGATATTTCTGAAAATAAAAACATCAGTTTAGAGTTTCGAAAACTACAAAATGTCGTCATAACTCGCGAAATTTTCGAAGGTGATATTCCCGGGATGTAAGCGAGTGACGTCACCTAATAATGTCAAAACCGTGTAATCAACAGCTGCAACTACTGCAACCGACCCGGCCACCGCGACGACACCTGCCGACAAAAGCCGCCCGTCTGCTACATGTGCGGCAATACAGGACATATAGAGCCGAGATGTCCTAGCAAGATTTGTTGCAATGTGAGTGCTGTACTGTTTATTGATACAAAACCCATAGTTCCCCTAGCCTTAGTTTTCCACCAAACAAAAAATTTTGAGCTATTGTCTGTGACGTATAATAGAATATATTGTAGGTACAATAACATATAATTTAGTGTAGTGTGTTACAAATATTCTAAGTAGATCTTTTTAATATTATTATGTTTTCTTGATAAAGTTATCACTGCATTTACGTGTTGCCGTCTGGTCTATTTTTAAACTATTAAAAGAACAAAAATTACCCTAGACATATTCTTTTGACAACAACAACGGCTTTAGTGCATTAGAGCAAACACAGCACTGCCCTAGAAAATACTTGCCTTGTCATACCTTGCCATACTATCAACAATTGCAGAAAGCTTATACATCTTGATACTTATTTTATTACCAGTGTGGCTCTCCAAACTACATGTATTCGACTATTTGCCGCAACTGCTCCAGCTGGAATCGTCTAACTTGTGCCGAGTGCGGCCAGAATGGGCATCCCAGCAGCCACTGTCCAGATGTGTGGCGTCGCTACCACAATACGGTAATTATCACTATCATAATTATGATTCATTGTGTTTTAAAACTACTATCGAGTTCAGCCTCTGATAGAGATTCAAAATTAGACTGACGTTCTTTTGGATAAAAGTCGACTAGGGCAGTTCTGGCGCAAGTACTGACTTGCGACAACGACTTTCCCTGAACGTATTGTATAAACCGTGCAACTACAAAGCTGTCTCTACATCTAACGCAATGTGGTTTGTTTCCAGATCGATTCGTCCTCCCAATTAGAAGAGAACCATTATTTGAAGAAACATTACCAATTGTTCTGCAGTGGTTGCACCCGTCGAGGCCACCTCGTGCACACTTGCCGCATCTCTCTGCCCTTCTCTGGCTTTCCCATCAATTCCCCTTACGTGCGTCAGTACCGACCAGCATACGGTCCACTCACGAACCCTGACGTTTTCCATAATCAAAAGAACAGACAGTACACCAAGACTTTCCAGCAAGACTCGAACATCTCTTCAGACATGCTATCAAACAAAAATGATCGCAACAAACGACAGTCTAAATCGCCAACTCTTCACGAGAGTCACATTAACAAGAGAAAAATGGCCTTGTCTGGTACACCCGAAGTGCAAAGAAACACAAAAAGCCCTCTAAGCACTGCTCATCAAAGGAAAAATTCTCCAAGTAAAGATCTTCATGACAATGGAGATAAGATTAAAGATACTGAAATTATTACGAGCTCTGAAGTCTCAGAAAACAAAGGTGCTGAAGTGGAGAGCGCACCTGATTTCATTCCAATCGGTTCTTCGAATCACGACGAAAAAGGACACATGATTCAAGACAATGAAGTTTCCGACACAAGCGATGTTGTAACTTCAGCAAGAGTCTACTTTACCAACGATATAGCTGACAAGCTGAAATCGAAGGTTGGTGAACAATGGTTAAAAGAAACCATTGCAAAATGCAATATTACTTTACAGAACACTGATATTGATTCTTTCCTGACTATAAAAGGCAAAGTTGCAGATCAAGAAGCTTTTCAGACCGCGATCAGAGAATGGAACAAACCAAATTTGGAAAACGCAGAAACGGAGAATTCATCTCCACAGCTATCAGAAAATGGGGTATTAAGCAATAATATACCCAAAAACAGAAATAATGTCTTGCGCAAGCTCAGCAAGGCTTTGGAATCGTTAAAAAAAGACTTAGGAGACCCAGAACAGATGTACAAAGAATTAAACTATCTACAAAACCGCCATGTAGAACTTACGAAACAGAAATTTATAAACCCTAAACAGCTAAGCAACAATAGGGACAACATAAATGAAATGTTAAAGAAACTTAACATGATCCTTCTTGGACAAGCGGGTCTTGCTGACGGATCAAAGCATTTGAACGAGCTATTCGCTTTACAAGATAAACTGATAAAATATAGACAAAAGAATATAACGACCGAGCTTCGTGAAGAGATCGGTGAACATTACCATTCTATTTTCACAGCCAAGCCGCGAAACGATTATGGAGACTTATTGAAAAAATATCAAGTAGCCAGGACACCTCAACCTGTGTTTAAACAAAAGAAAAAAGATAAAGGTTTTTTTATTAATCTTAAGAAAATGAAAAAATTTCGAGGAGTAACTCCCCAACAAATGAAAAGTCCCCCAAAGGCGACAACGGAGCCACCTAAAAACGAGGTCGCTACCGCTACTGAGAACAAGAATCCTCAAGCTAGAGGATTTCTTGTTGAGAATACTAAGAAAAAGCTGGTTTTCTACCGCAGGAGGCTAATGAATGCTCGTCCAAACGACAGCGTGCTGAAGAAGACGCGGGTTGATTTGGTCAGAAAATTGCATTCTTACATCGCGTCGCTGCATAGGAAAGCGAACACATCTTCGAAGGCTTTGAAGAAGATGAAAAAAGTTCAAAAACAAGCCCAAGTGTTCTTGAACAACATATAGGATAAGTGATTGCATTCTGGCGCATATGAAAGAAATATTACGGAATCGCTGGTATGCGCCACGCAGAGCCGGTAGGGCATGTATATGATCCCCGAGTGCTTATTCGCTTGCCGGCCTGCTTATGCACTCTAATTGTGCATGAATTAAAATATACTTCTTAGTGTAAAGCATATTTGTCTAGTTTTCTTTAAAAAAAACATTGAGAATCCTTACCTTTTTCTTCCTTTTACCTTGGCCCTGTAGAAAAACCAAACGGAAATCCTTGCTGTGTAACATGGTAGAAAACGATCTGCAGGTGGATTCTGAACCTTATGATAACTCTGTTGTCGACCGATTCGATTAGATATCGTACGATTCTATATACATCTATTTATCTCGCGAGTTTGGGTGTAATTTGTGGTTGTCTATGTGAGTGCCTATGACACCCGCGATACAGGGTGTTCTAGTGCGGGCTATGAGTGTGTACTTTTAATATTTTAAAGTAAATGCCGTTATTATCTACTCAACACCCGCTCCTAATTCTAAAACATCGCGTTTGTGCACTCTAATGTCCACAACAGCTGAACCCATTTGGATGTGGATTTGTATGTGTTATGTATTAAGATTCGTTTGGATTAACATTTACAATTTCATTTAAATCAATTCACAAATTTAAAAGATTTAGCGACGCGAGTCTGAACGAAGTGCGTGCACTGACGAGACTATTGTGTGCTCTAAAAATATAGTCATGTGGATCTACAAAAACTACAGCACGATATATCTAACTTTCCAGTTTCCAGTCGGCGTATGTTACGCAATGTCCATCAACAAAGCACTGGGTCATGCTGAGAGTGGACGGTGTCGATCTCAGTATGAGCTGATTTTCGCACGGCCAGCTCTACTTGGCCCTGTCGCTTACTTCAAGATATCTGTATGCGTTAATCCACGATGGCTGTACACACAATATTATATGCAGGGTTATTTGTAAAATACTAATAACCTCACAGGACTAATAATTATTAGCATCATAAACAACAACTGTTGTTCCATGATTTTGTCACTCACAAAACATAATCAAGTTTTTGTTGTATCTGACACTTTTTAGACCTATATTTGGTAGTAAGGTTGTAAGTTCAAATATGATGGTGAAAGCGTCTTCCCCGATGACTCCCGCTCTTGCATTTTTGAATCGTACCACAGAATTATCGTGTGATTTATTCCAGCGTGACCATGGTCGAGTTTTTAAAATTTGACTAGTCTGATAAAAAGTTGCTATTTAGTCGGTTCTAGTCGCATAAAACTAGATTCAGTCGGTCCTCCATTCAAAAGTTATAGGGTTGTTTTACTGTTTCACCATTTCTCAATTTCGAGAACTACAACACCTAGCTTAGATTTGATTACACTAAAAAAAGTCGAAGCTGTCCAGTTTGTGTAATGTGTAATTTTGTGAAGTGTCCAGATTGAGAAATGGTGCCGCTGGAATAAGCTTATTCCAGTGTGGACAGTTAAACAACCCTAAAACTTTTGAATGGCGGCTTTTTATCTGACTCAGTGGCGGATTTGCAGTCTTGGCCGCCCTAGGCCCCCAGGCCATGTAACCAGTACCAGCCGCCCCTTTCTCAGCACTCATATTACTATATTTTTTATTCTATATTTTATAAATATAATGTACGAAAGTGATTTGGGAAGATTATTGTTATCCGATACGATGCAGTGCGGCCCGCCATAATGTGCGTGAGCCTTTAAAATATTTAGGTACTTTGAGTTATTTCTTGTTCTCATCAGTGAATTTTTTTATCACAAATGGCCGCCCCTACAATCTGGCCGCCCTAGGCCCGGGCCTAGGGTGGCCTTAGGGCAAATCCGCCACTAATCTGACTAGTCAAATTTCAAAAACTCGACCATAGTCACGCTGGAATAAGGCACGAGAGTTATCACTGTTTAGAGCGATCTATTTAATTATTTTTTTTGTACGAGTCGAATAATTAAAAGTCATGGAACAAAAGTTGTTGTTTATGATGTTTGTATAAATAGCCCTGTGAGGTTGTTCGTATTTTAAAAATAATCCTGTACATATAGGAAATAAATGTGAAGAATAATGTATACGTTTAATGTAATAACCGAGTTTCTTTTTAACCGACTTCAAAACAAGGAAAAGGTTCTCATTCGATTGTATTTTTTTTTATGTAGGTATGTTGCGCGATAACTCCGAAAGTTGTGAACATATTTTGATGATTCTTTTTTTGTTGAAAAGAGGATAAGTCAGGAGTGGTGTCATTTAAATTTGAAGAAAATATTCTAAGGGTGGCAAACTAGGGGATGAATCCCTTTTGATATAGGTATATCAGTGGGATAAGCACTAGTATCAAAATAGTTTTTTTTATATATAGTAGCAGTAATGGCGGGCACAGCAATTTCAGAGCAGGGCAATTTCTTTTAATTATAATATAAATAAATAAAATTTCTTTTAATATAAATAAATAAAATTGGAAAATTTTAAAAGGTTAACGTATTGAAACGGGACCTACCTCTTCTCCCACTGTTCTTTAAGCGGTGTCGATAACTTAAGGATCCTAGTTACAAAAATCCTGTACAAGAATGTACTCACAGGAGGGATGAGATCCTCAAATAGTAATTTTATTTTTTTAAAGAAACAGAATTGCTGAAAGGCCCTAATGAGCATGAACTAGGGTTTTCTACTTTACCAGACTTGGGTAGGTACAGATACAGACGTTTTCTGGGAATACCACAATTTTAACGATTTAAGTAGGTACCAATTTGTGACCACAATACGGTAATTCACATCGAGTGTCTGGTCATCAAATTAGCAGCATAAGCAGTCGCAGCACAAAGAATAAAGCATTTACTTGGTGTAACGGGCTGGTGTCCGCAATTCGACGTCAAGGCGCCTATTTTGCGTAAATTTTCGGTAAAGTATTTCCCCATTCCAGTACTCTCCAACGTTATGTTAATATTCTAATCCAGGGGTATATTAATCTAGGCTCTAATACCTAAATAGTTTGACGTAAACTGTGGGCCGATACGACTGAAGTGCCACAAGTCGCGATGGAGGCGTACGTCGTAAGTAGGTATATTATGTATGTACATCTTAGAGGATGGAAAAAATAAAGGAAAGGAGCTGCCGTATCTACGGAATAAACGTACCTATTGGTTTCCATAGTCTAAGATGTACATACACTCTTAGGTGGAGCACGTGACACGATTCATTCGGTCATTCGTGCTAGTGAATGAGTGAGTGAAAGCAGATGCATCGGAGAGAGAACCGTAAGGCCAGGGCTTCGTCACACGCTCAAGGCTACGTGATAAGTGCCTACCGCTGAGTGCGCCGACGTCGGTGCAAGCGCTCATGCAAGTCTTTCATTTACGAGCATTCGGCTTTGCACAACTGCACACGAACAAACGTTATTTTCACCTCTCTGAGCGCGTGCTTCGGTTCCTTTTTCCTCGTAGTGAGCGCCTGACGTCATTAGTTATATTTCTTAGACTATTAAGACGTAGGTATTTTCAATTTTCTATGAGAGTGAAGCATCTGTTACGTAGTACTGTTAAGTAATCTGTGGTAATGCCAAAAGCTCTATAGTGTCCCTTCCCCACCAAATGTCAATATCGATAACACACAAAAGCTACACACGACTACATTTCGATAACCCATACGGTATAGACATGCCCGGAAAGCTTTCCAGTACCCTCAACGCCAGGAATCCAAAGCGACAAGAACCTCGTGCTTTCACGCTCTACTGCTACAACTTGGACAGCCTCCTGCGCAGTTACACGTAGTCAGTTAGACGGCCAGCACTGGCGCAATCCGAAAATGGAATACTTAGTTCTATTTTCCCGAGAAATTTGGGTGCAAATGGTGCAATTATAAATTATTTTGGGAAGTAATAGCCCGTTTACTTCGCTTGCGCCGCGAGAGACGCACGCTCTATGGAGGCGTCGCGAGCGACGCTCAACGGCCCGTAAGATTCTGCGCCCATGTGCGTTGCACACCTTGCATCATAGGTAAAGACACTGAATAAGGCGGGACACTTCGGAGTACCAAAAACGGTCCGAAGACACTGAGATTCCTTAGGAGCTAAGGTGATACAGGTAAGACACTGCACATCCCACAAAATAATCTTCTGTTAAGTAAAATAGAGCCAACCTCTCAATCTCCCCTGTTATGCGCGTTTGAAATTTGCGCGGCAGTGTGAGGCCTGTTTTTTCTTCTGGAGGACACTTTGCAGAGATTTGGCTTGGATATAAGTCCGTTGAGCCGTGTCTTCGTTTATCTATCAGGTATCTTATAGATATCTTCATTATAATATTAAAACAAAGTTTTCACTTTCTCTTAAATAACTAGTTCACATAAAAAGGTTTTTTGTCGCCGTTGCGTTGTGAAAGTGGCTTGTAAATACACACATCAAAAGTGTCTAGGGATCGAGTGAATATTTTTGAAATAAAAATTATTTAAGCAATATTTACCAAATCCAGTCTTCCAGGACGACTTCTTACTTTAATGCTTATGTTTTATTTAACCGCTTACCCCTATATTTAATTAAAATAAACTAAAATTGATGTTTTTGCAAATTGTGGGAAAAAACTCAAATAAAAAAAAAAAAAATACGCAATACAGTTATGTTGGAGAGTAACACTTAGAAGAGAGGCTGCCATCGAATTTGACCCAAAGTACGGAGTGGCTCTACATATTTCTATACCGTGATTGTAGTTTCTTTTAATGTTTAACTTAGTGACCCTATTGGCGTACAAAAGTAGTCGACGGTGCGTTTATTTATGTATAGAAGCGTCTTCAATAAAGTTTTTATTGAACACGTCTTTAGGATAACTTACATACATATCTACCTACATATTTTTTATGAAAATTTTGAAATTTTTCAGAAAATTACCCAACAGTAGCCTTGACTATACCACCGGATGATGGATTGGCGAGCTGAAGGATCTTAACTCGTTAAAACTAAACTAAAACCTAAGTAGCGGGATTGAGGGCTTCCCAGTGGGCTCAACCCTCGGATCAGGGCGCTATTGGGGACTTCCAGAAGGTCGTGCTGTAAAAGAGAGTCTACTAGTGTACATGCTGAAATTAGTGGCTCTACGACCTCACCGGGGCGAGGACGTTTGGTACGTGTGGAGTTGAACTGATTAGCGATCGGTTGGCCTATAAAGTGGCAAGAGTGATAGTCATCGACAATTCTTCTGCATCATAAGGAGCGCACGTTTTTATAACTTAAATCACTGAATTACGAATGTGTAAAAAACGAGTCAGAATCAAAGGTGTTATAGTACTTGTATCCAAGCCAAAGCTCTTAATAAAAAAGCAATCATTTCATACGTCACGCACTCCTGTTTTAGGCTTGATAAAATTGATAACGCGCCTCTAATTCCGTACTTGTTGATTTAATTTTACCTCAATCAATAAATTAAATAACAATACAAAAGTTGCGTGCGTGGAGTAGTGTAGATTTTTTATAGAAGCAATAAAAATGCGACTATTTTACAATGCTTCTATCGTATATTTCTTGGAAATACTGTTCTTGTTGTCGTGTGTTCTAAACTCAATAAGCGGTCGTAGGGTAAGAAATTCTATTTCCGATTTTTTTCTACTTTTAAATGTGGAACTTTTTCAAATTTAATTTTTTATTGTGTAGATACAGTATCCCGAAGAAGATTATTTTCGTGGAGGCTATTATGGAAGAGAACAGCAAGATAACGAGAATAAAATTAAAATTGCACTAGAAAAATTGGAACATGGTGAGTTACATAAAAAAATCATAATATACGAAAAATGAGTCAAGTCACTAGTAAAATAATAATATATATAATTTTATTATTGTGTTAGTATATTATTATTATTTAATGTTTTTGTTGTATATGGGTTTTTATGCCTGAAAAAAGTCTACTATTACAAACTATTTAATATTTCTTTATGAAACTACATGTAAATTGTTACAATTTTATTGTCTCCCTCTTAGCACCACAATGGGTCCAAGACTGGCCAGACCCCACAATCAAAATGGGACAAGTCTCTGGAGTAGCTCTCGACAATGCAGGCAGAGTCCTTGTGTTCCACAGAGCCAGTAATGTGTGGGATGCTACAACATTCACTGATAGAGATGTATATCGGAATATTGGGACACCACCCATACCTCATGCCACTATACTGGCCTTCAATGATTCTGGAAGCCTTGTTGATATGTGGGGTCAGAATCTGTAAGTAAATTTTCATAATATTCATTATTTTTGTGGATATTGCCGGTAATAATCATAATAATATAAAATTTTGAGCTCCTATCACTTTACCATAATAGATAATGAGAAAATTGCCAGTGGATGGATTCGTAGTTTACTTTGTTTATTTATTAGGTTAGGTAAATAAAAATTATATATATACGCATAAAACTCAAGTTCTGCACTCATTTAGTTTTTATTGTCAAAGAAAACCTGTTCTGTATGTTATCGAATGAGGGAGTGAAGAAGGTGTGCACCTGCTGGTAAGACTCACCTATGCATAAAAGTGGCAGTGCCACCCAGAATGTTATATCACAAAGATCTGAGGGGTGCTACCACAGCATGCGTCACCATAAGGCATAAATTTGTCAAGTACCAGCACCCTTTCCCTTCAAAATTGAAATACAGTAATGTTCACACTACTGGTTGGCGGCACAATGGGTATGGTGGCTGTACTTCCCTGGACTAATACTTTCACAAGGAGCTCCACTGCTACTATGTTATAAATATATATAAGGAAGTCTGCAGTTTTGTTAACAGTTAATTTAAAGAATGTGCACTAGGACTACTCTCTAAAGGAGTAATTTTCCTTAGTTTTTAATTCCTCAACTGCCTGTAATGAACATTTGATACTCGCTTCTAGGCAAAGATGCCCCCAACCTGTAGTACTAGCACAACAGAGCGCAAGAGCGTTTTAAAGCGTGAGATACTGCTATTCTCGCATAAAGATTCCGCGCTTGTCTTGCTAACCCTACTGATGTGATTAAGACAATTCATGCTAAGAAAACCCTAGTTAAGTGACACTTATTGTTATTTGAAATATATTGTTATTAATTCTGTTGGTCTTTTCGAGTTGTAATTAGTGGCAAATACAGATCATTTGTTTATTTCAGTACTAAAGTGCTGCACATACAGTGAATTATTACTGCTCATAATAATTACAAAGCCTATTCAAATGACTAGCTCTTGATTTAAGTGCGTATCTCAAAAAAATCTCAATTTACAACTTGAGCTTTCCTGTATTTACAAATTATAATCATCTATGTCTCGATTGATACAATCGCAATTGACCAAGACTTTCCATTTAATCATTAGGACTTAATAACAATTTTAACCTATAGCTGAGTTGCTGAGATATGTTTAATTAAGCGGATGATGATACACAAAGACAAATGAACATCTCTAACAGAACAGTGAACTGGATTTAAATACAAATAAATAAAAGAAAATAAGTTTGTTTTGTTTCTAATAATGTAACTTATTTTTGGAAACAACTTGTTTAATTTTCTTTTACGGTTTTTTTCACGGTTGAATCTGACCATCAGACCTGTAACGTGCCCGAAACATTGTTTTTTTTTAAAAAACAAATGTACGCGATTTTAATCCGGAAAAGTAGTATCATTTCAATTGCGAAAACCTAAGAACTCGATGTGTGTTCTTTTGTCTATTTTTCAAAATTATTCATGATTTTGAGGTGTGGAATCGTTGATTGAATGATTTAACTGCCTCTATGGCCGTGTGGTTACCATGCTGATCTGCCACGCAGAGGACCCGGATTCGATTCCAGGGCCGGGAGAAGTGTTGGTATGGCCTACATTTGTTTCTCTCGTAAGTTTGGTTGTAATTTGTGGTGTTCTATGTGTGTGTCCATGGCACCCGCGTCATCACAGGCTTTCCCTAGTGCGTGGCTATGAGTGCGTGTCTTATTTATTATTTACTGATATTACGTCACCAGATTCTACATTCCTCATGGCATCACAGTGGACAAGGAAGGCAATGTATGGATCACTGATGTAGCCATGCATCAGGTGTTCAAATTCACTCCAGATAATCGACAAAAACCTGCACTGGTATTAGGAGAGAAGTAAGTGTTCCCCTTAAATTCATTACAGGTTTCATAGAACTAGCTTTTTTAGCGACTTTAAAGGAGGCGTGAGTATCTACTGGATATTGGTACTATAGAAAGAATCCTCATTGAAATAGCTGTCTGGTTATACAACTCTAAAACCATATGTACGCAAAGTTGTTTGGGAAGTGGTAAATAATTAATTTACGTAAATGTTTCTTGTAATGGTAAACTCAATTTTGTACCATTTGCATTCGTCATTTTATTATGAACAAGATAAGAAAAAAAACCAGTCAGAATATGAATAAATATGCATTAGCAATAAAAATTTTAATAATTGGTCGCAAAATGTAATTAAAAATACTATAAATAATGTGTAAAATTACAATTTCACGGTACTAGTTTAATAATGTTTGAAACTAATTGCAATGACATTCTGCATGAAGTCGTTTCTGCATTTGTTGATTTCGGTAAATGTAGCGACAGTGTATGTCGTGCCTAAATAGTGCTAATCACATACGCGCTTTCGCCAGATGAAACGACATCAAGGCTGAATACACAAGTGACGTATTTTGCACTTAAGCGTTTTTGTGATCGAGGTCATTCTGCGTGTCAATATTTTTTCAGTAACGCATATTATTACTTGAAAGTCAACTTTGTGTGCCATTTGCACACATAAGTTTGCAACAAAAGAAACGCTTATTATGAACTTATCCCGAAGTAAAAAACAAGATCTACCCTTTATTTCAAGAGGTTGTACATTTGTTTTAGGTTTGTCCCCCGCAATGATGAAACGCATTTCTGCAAGCCTAGCGCTGTCGCTGTGTTGTCGACGGGTGACTTTTTCGTAGCAGACGGTTACTGTAATACTAGGATCATCAAGTTTGCGCCTGATGGCACTCGAATTTTACAGTGGGGTAGACGTAAGTACATGTCTCTTTTGACTACAAATATAGTTATTTTTAATGATTAAAAACGTTTTATAATTATACGTTTACAACTATAAAAAAACGCATAATTAAAATAGACACAAATGTACGCAAACTAAGGGTCGTATTCCAGAACTCTACTCAATGCTGAAGCTGGACTTGAGTACGATTTCAAGCATTGGAAATACGACCCTAATGGCAAGGACTTGAGTATGATTTCTAATGCTTTAAATGACTTGAGCATTGAGTAGAGTTCTGCAATACGACCCTAAGTCATCCATAAAATAGTTTTGACCAAATGACATTTCGATCAAACGTCATTCCATTTTTCAAATGAACAGGATTGCAATAGACATAATATATAGGTACAGACAGCAGTATATCAAGTTACCCATTGACGGATCTTATTCCGTCGCACTGAAGGCGATATTCGGACAAAAGTATATAGCTTCATGTGCTGTTAACTGTACACTAAGCCATGGATAAAATCATAATAGAATGGTACTTTACAATTAAAAATCCTTTCGATCAAATGACAATCACGATTAAACGTAAATAGAAAATAATGGGCCGCCTATGTAATGATATTAGAGGTATAATATCGACCATTTGTATGAAAACCAAGCATGTCACATTTTTGTACCCACTATGACGTCACAACAACTATTTAGTGAAGGAAATCTCCTTCCGCTCGCTCTAAATCGATACGCGTGTTTACGCGTATTCAATTCAATTAATCGATTCTAAATAGAATAATTTTTTATAATTATTAATACAAAGATCGAACACTCAGAAAAAATTCCTTCGATCCGGTCGGATTCGAACCGACGTCTTCTTGCATACCGTGGCAGACGCTATACCAACTAAGCCACGGAACGAACCAACGGACCTCACGAATTTTTCTATGAATCTAGAATAATTTTTGTTCAAGTATTTGTTTATTACAAGTAGTCGTAATATTAATATAGTACAAAAATACTAGAATAAGATAGTTAAGTCCATTATTTTTCTTGATTTTGAAAAATGTTGATTACTTAAAAAAATGAAGAACTTTTAATCGACTTAAAATATTAAAATTATTATCCTTCCAATAAAATGAGCTTATTATATAACATATTTTTGTAATAGAAGATCTTATCGATTAACTTAAATAATGAAAACGCACCTCAATATATGAACTTGCGACTGTCTTAATTAATTTTACCAGATGGTTTTCTGTTGGTGTGTTACTGCTGACAAAATATGGTAAAATCTTATTAATCACAAGAGGTTTTCTTAATGACGGCCTCGTCTGAAATTTTTGTGACTTAGGAAATGAAACTATTTTTCCGGATTTAAATCGCGTATATTTGTTTTTTCAAACAAACCGACGTTTCGGGCCCTTTACAGGTCCCATGGTCACGGTTGATTGTTTGAAAAAAACAAATATACGCGATTTAAATCCGGAAAAATAGTTTCATTTCCTATGTGTAACAATCGCGAAAACCTAAGAACTTTTTGTGACTTGTTTATTATTTCTCCAGTTTCTAACTCTGCATATTTGGATAGCATCTTAGGTGTGATAAACTAGACCACCTTCGTCCTCGAAAGCAACGAACTTATACGTATGACCAATTCCAGGTGGTTGTCTTTATAAAAACCTGGAGTTGGTCAATAATTAACAGTGCGCTGTCTCTATAGCACACTGTTAATTCTTTGCATTATATACTTTTTGTATTACTCGTACTACGTATCCGGCAATGTATGTAATTATTTACTCACTATATTCGGACATTCAGGCAGCGTGCTGCAAAAATATATCGTACCAAGTAAAAACCGCAATATATTACAAATCATGAGGCATACACTCGGTTGCATATTTGTTTTCTCGAAATTCATACAAAACCAAAATAATTGTTTTTAAAATAAATTATGCATCTTCTGATTACAAAATCACTTGCCCGTGGCAGGATACGTCCCTGTTTACCCCTTTACCCACAGTTATGGTGCTTTTGCAGTTTATAATGGCACAATTCTGCATTTTTCGCGTTTTCGACTGGTGTTTATGTACGATAACGGTCGAGCGCGTTCTGAAGTGTAGGAGCGGCAACTAAGTGAATTTCACTTACTTTGGGCACGCGAAGTACGTACACTTGCGGCGTCTATCTAGATATATGTATGTGATATCGACACTGGAAAGCTAAAACGTCTAACTTGCAGTGGGAAAATATTACAGAAATCGTATTAAAGTAATTGTTTTTTCTTTTTTGAAAAAAAAAACTCATAACTCTAATTTTATTTGTTATGTAGAAAACTAGAAAGTGTCAACTTTACCATACAATAAATAAAATTAAATGCTTTCTTGTAATATTTTCCAAATGCACGTTAGACATTTTACCTTTCCAGAGGCGATATAAAATATGTATGCAAAAGCTTTAGCGTAAATGAAAGCCGAGGTTAAATTTACCGTTGACGAGGCGTTATAGATGAAGTGTAATTAGACGGAACGTGTTTCGAAATGAGATAGCAAACCACTAAATATGTTAGGGTTGATTAAATCAGGACCGTCGTAATACATAACGATATTATAATATTGGAGCCCTCTAACAGCCCTTTAAGGTCAGAGGGTTAGTCGAAAAGATACAAATCATTTCACGTAGGTACTTAATAAAAATGCATCTATTTGGTGCTAAATATTATATTTATGTATAATTTTTAATGTATATGTAAATAATATTCAATAGGTACGAGTATTATATTTTGCAGACCTCGTTGGCCTAACGGTTTACATTATGGGCGCTGTGTGCTGAGGTTCCAGGTTCGATCCCAGTAGGACCAATGAAAAATAACTTTTATAAATTGTTTATATATAATTTTATTTATTTGTAGTACTATTGTTGATGATATATTTACATCCCCTAATTTTCTGCCAGGAACAAATTCCATTTCGCAATAAGACCGCCCGTTGTACTTTAACTAATTATATTATACTTACATGTTGTGTGTTATCGTTGTAACTTTAATATTGAATTTCATTTAACTGCCTCCATCGCCGTAAGGTTACTATGCTGGACTGCCATATACAGGTCCCTGGTTCGATTCCCGGGCCGAGATAGATATTTGTATGGTCTACATTTATTTGTCTCGTTAGTTTGGGTGTAATTTGTAGGGTGTGCCATGAACACCTTTCCCTAGTGCGGGACTATAAATGAGTGCGTTATTATTATTACATTCTAATTAGGAATTAAGCGCAAACGAATAATTTTACAGGAAAAGGCGAGTCCCCCTTCGTGTTCACAGTGCCCCACGCCCTAACATTAGCTGAAGACAAGGGGCAGGTATGCGTGGCGAATAGAGAACGTGGTTGTGTGGCCTGCTTCCGAACAGACAACGGGACTTTCGTGCAGCAATACCACAGCTGGCTCATAGGACCCAGAATTTTTAGCGTCGCCTACTCGCCTGTACGCGGTCAGTATATACTGTAACGCCACCACTACATATTTATACTTCGTTACAATCCATTTTAAACAAAAGTAAACAAACAAGTCACTGACCCGACCACAGACTGTTTAGTGATGGCCAATTATACTGACAACTACAAATCGATTAATTAATTGAATGAATCGATTTGGTTAATTGAATCATACTAGCGGTTTTCCTTACATAACCATATTAACCAAAGCATATTTAATATTTCCGAAATCTTAATTTTAAATCCTCCTTCAAATCATTCAATTGCGATTGAAATTTTCGACTTACTAATCAGTAATAAACACCTTTATTGAATGAACCGAAGGTTTTTGTTTGTACAACACTATGCAACCATAGACTATTCATACATATTTCATTGAAGATAACCTCACTTTTGGAGTACATTTTTTCAAATACAATTTCACGATTTATATATTTTTATTAACCGACTTCAACAAAGGAGGAGTTCTCAATTCGACTGTATGTTTTTTTTGTATGTATGTTACGCGATAACTCCGGTATTTGTGAACGGATTTTCATTATTCTTTTTTTGTTGGAAAGGGGGTACTTCCATAGTGGTCCCATTTCATTTTGAAAAAAATCATCCACCTCTAAGGGTGGCTATTCACGCATGAACTTTCGTTTTTATAAATAACGCCTAAATTTTACTAAGGAGCAATTATTTTAATGGTTGATTTTGCTATTTCTCCAATTCAAGGCGTTTTTCTCTCCATATACTTTGAGTAGTAAGAACCGATTTTTATTATCTCCAGTGTCAAGTCCTGTATAGTGGCAAATTTAAGGATATTTCAGTAAAACTTAGCAAATAGACGTAATTCCACGTACTTTTGAGGTCGGTTTTTTTAGTACTCTGAGACTATTACTGAGATTATTATTTCACAATTGAATAACTCAAATGAATATTGCTGGAAGAAGTGATGAAATATTATGTCGAAATGTCCGAAATATTCGATCACATTTTCGATTTGTTCAGTGATTGCTTTACAATTTTAACCAAACCGTTTTGTTTACTTTTCGTTCAAAATGGATTGGAACTAGTGTTGAGTTACTCATACACGAGGCAACTCGTTTGTACCACTCGCTTGGTCAGTTTGTCACAACACCTCATGTCATAAAAATGTCCCACCTCACACCTCACCTCATGTCATAGCCTCATGTCACAACCTCACTCATGTCACACTCTGCTTCGAATTCAACGAATGCAACAATGGTCCTGCACTGCTCGTTTTTTAGCTGATTTTACATAATATGATCATACTATCATAGTACTAAAAAAAAATTAGCATTTATTTATGCTACATCATAACACTTAAGTTATCCAATTGATTGATACCATCAAGTTATGAAAATGTGCTTAATATTCCCTGTCAGTGGAGTCATTGCCATAGATGCAAATATTCTTACCACTACCTCACCTCATTTGAAGTAGGTCATTGTACCGCCTTTTTTCAAATGAGGTACTCCCTCAAACGCATTTTAATTTCATGTCCTACCCAACACTAATTGGAACAGACTTTAGTACCAAGCGCCACCAGTAGATGGCATCGTCCCTAGTATCATGAGAAGCACAAGCAAGTGTTAATATGATTAGTATAAGGTCTTCATTATTCAGAATGGCCTCAGGCGCGGGTGCGTGTAAAGTAAATATACGTAGAAGCTCGTTGCGTTTACAATGGCTGTGCGCGCCAGCGCCTGTATCGTGGCGGCTGCGGGCGCGGCATCTATTGGCTCGGTCTGCCCGTACCTTTCACAGTGCGTGGTCTAGCGTCTAACGTCTGTTTGCGATTTCGACGATGTGGATCTACCCGTTCGTAGCCGCTTCGGCATTGTGAAAGGGAAGACGCCAAGACCCGCGCTTGCACTCTGTATGAGCCCTATGACTGGTGAGGTGTTTCGGACAATAGCCCAATTCATGAAACTGGCATCGAAAACTACTTCGACTCTGCTCCTCACCCCCCTAATGCCCTGCTTGCAATTACCTACCCCCACTGGCTTGTAGTACTGTCGACCCAGAGAAGTCTTCAACGACCCTGACGACCCCATCCCTCTCGCCACGTTACTGGCCAACCAGGTCTTAATTTACTCACGCCAAGTTACTGGCCAACCAGGTCTTGACTCACTATCGCCACTTTACTGGCAAACCGCCTGTCCTGCAGCACACCCTTCTGGCGGAAGTGTTTAGTAGCGTGCCGAGCTGATGTTCGTGCCCACATAGACACCTTCAGGCAATAAATCATTACTAAGCGCTGTATGAGGATGTCCCAATTTCGACGCCTACTAAAACCAATACGAGAAACAATTAAAAAAACTAACTTTTTAAAATTGGTTCTCGTCTGGGTGTTCTAGATTCTTAAATCCATTGCTCTGGTACTCGTAGCGCAGGAAATTCCCTAGGTTGCGTCCCAGTACTTATTTATTTATGTAATTATTTATTGTACAGGAAAACACAAATCACATTTGGTAAAACGGAAAACACAAACAAAAAAATAACGGGTTTACGTGCACAACAAAACAAAATGAAATTGTGTAATAAAATAATAATAAAAAAAACAGCAAAAATATTAAATTACTACGGACTATATAAATACTTACATAAATACATATTTCATATTATAATATCTATAAAATGGATGAAAGAGAGGATAAATAGTGCTACTTGACTCTCATTTTATAGATAGCTAAGGATTTACTGTCATGTACAGTAACGGGAAGTGCGTTCCAAAGTCTGACCGCATGAACAGTAAAGGGGTGAGAATAAAAACCGGAATTGAATGATGGAAAAGATAATTGGGACCTAACGAGAGAGCGAGAAGGCTTATCCTGGGACATGACAAAGCTGAAACGCTCTTTCAGATATTCTATCTTATTCTATTTTCTTATTTTACAGGAGGCCGTCTCTACATAGTAAACGGCCCCATGCCCGAACAAGAGGTCCCAGTACGAGGCTACGTCGTAGACTTCAGGTCGGGTCGATTAATCCAGACCTTCGCCCCGGATCAGGGCTTCGCCAACCCCCACGATGTCGTCGCCTCTGCTGATGGCTCCAAAGTATATGTAGCTGAACTGAACCCGTATAGAGCATATAAGTTTATTGATGAGACGTTGAAAAATTACAGTAGGAATGAAGACCAGAATGTTTCTGTACCAGTGAAACCTACAGCGACCGTAGGTGAGTAGGTTTGTGTTGTTTTTATTTTTATTTATTTACAATTTTTTAAATATATAATTTTTTTTTTGTGTTGTTATTTATTTTTTATTTAATATACCTACCACATAATATAAATAACTTTTAAAATTATTTTAATTTATTTATTTAGTACAAGGAATGTATGAAAATACAATAAAAACTATTAAAAATTAAGCTAAAATTAAATTAAACGAATTGGAACCCTGTGGCAGGGTGCCCAAGATACTGACAACGTTCCCCTTTTATACAGAAGGTACTCCTTCTTTCCTATAGCTATAAAGCTGTGCTAATTATATTGTGCAAAGTTAATAATGAATAGAATAAATTAAATAAATAGAATCGGGCTGCAGCAGGGTGCCCAAGATGCTGGCAGTGTACCACATTTATTTAGCTATGCTAATACATTGGGCAAGGTAAAACTCGCACTAAATTAAATTAATAAAATTGGGCCCCTGTGTCAGGGTGCCCAAAATGCTGGCTGTGTTTGTATAGCTATGCTAATACGTTGGGCAAGGTATCTGGCCAGCCCTTGGGTCTCCGAGACGGCCTGTTAATTTTCTGCATAAATACTGACTTGTCATAATTGTACACAACATTCATAATACTGCCTAACTGCCTCCGTGGCCGAACAGTTACCATACCGGACTGCCACGCAGAGGTCTCCGGGTTCGATTCCCGGGCCGGGAGAAATATTTGTATGGCCTATATTTATTTCTCTCGTGAGTTTGGGTGTAAATTTGTGGTTGTCTATGTGTGTGTCCATGGCACCCGCGACACAGGGTTTCCCTAGTGCGGGGCTATGTTGAGTGTGTGCATTATTATTATTATTATTATTATATTATTATTATAATAGACACATCTAATAACAAAAAGCCAAATATGTATGAAAGAAAATATTCACCGTATTTTTTACTGGAACTTGAGTATGTTCTAATTTGAAGGAGATCAAGTTATACAAAAAATTACAATTCCCTTTATTATGAGTACCTTTAACTTTGGGCACTGCTCAGAACCCCGAAAGTAGAAAAATTTTGAAAAGTTCGTTTTCAAAAATTGGTCCAAGCGGGAATCGAAGACGTCCTCATTTCGCGCCCACGGTGTTGACAACATGGTGAGCAATATTTATTTGCTTTTGGTTTAGTTAAGTAAAATGTTTTAGATCATATGGGTAAATTCAAATTTAATAATCTCAGTTCAGAGTACCAAAAAAACCGACCTCAAAAGTTCGTGGAATTACATCTATTTGTCAAGTTTTATTAAAATCAGTTACCGGAAAGTGCGCGAAACTGGATTCATCCCCTAGTTTGCCACCCTTAGAGGTGGAATATTTTCTTCAAATTTAAATGGGACCAATACTGGGGTAACTTCTTTCCAAAACAAAAAAATCACCAAAATCGGTTCACAAATGCCGGAGTAATCACGTAACATACATACTAAATTAATACAGAATTGGGAACCTCCTTTTTTGAAGTCAGTTAAAAATACGTTATTGTACTAATTTTGTGCTTATGGTTTAAATTTTTATTTTATCTGCTTTTCTCTTACTTTTTCGCACTCAATTCCCTTATTTTAAATCAATTGCTGTAAAAATAGTAAATTATCATTACCAAAAACCTGACTGCGCAAAAACGGGATAGATAAACAGTTCTAGAAGCCTATTTGAACAAAGTTAAATAAACCATAAAACGTTATCGTGTTTGATACGTAAATAATCAAAACTAAATCAAATATAGTGACTGACTAAACATACATTTATATAAAGTGCTTGCTTATGACTAACTTTCATTTCATTTCGTCTAACCTTTAATATTCATTGGGTATAATACAACTAAGTTCACCTAAGTTGTGCTTGTTTATTAAACCAGTATGAAACGAGGCTATGAGCGCAAATTTTTTTATACATAAACATAGCATCCAATTATGTATACTTTGGAACAATTTAAAGTAATTTTGTAGAAAAAAAATTAATGTGGTTTACACCACTTTTGCGCTGATAGCCTCGATTGAAAGAAATAGAAAGGGAATTTGAAAAGAAAGCAAGAAATGGTTGTTGCAGAGGTGTCGAACAGCGGGCCGTCAGTCGCAACAGGGCTAGCGAAACAGTGGAGCGGCGCACTGGGCGGGGCGGCCGCCGCCGCAGGCGCAGCGCTGCTGGCGCTCGCCGCGGTCGCGCTGCTGCGAGCGCGCAACAAGGGTAAGAGAAAAGACGCCGCGGCAGAGCCGCTCGTGGGGTAGGCAGATTGCTGGGGGAATAGTTTGAAAACTTCATAGGCTCTCGACATGAGAGAGTTGGCATTCCACCGTAAACTTACAGTGGCAAAACTCACTCACGTGTAGCTTAATCTATTGGCTAACTCTGTCAAACGTCGAGTGTAGGCGCCTACAGGGTTTAACGCTTAGCTGGTATAGCAAGGTATTTTCATCACACTTGCTCGTAAATAGTAAGATTACATAGTGGCTAACTTGATTATCATGCCCCAAATAAAACACTCGGGCCTTCTTTCTTTCCGTTACAGACATGGTCGGTAAGGAGTTTTTTTTTTTATTGTAGCACGGTATACTTCCTCACATAGGTCAGGTTCAAGTTCAAGCAAGGAGGTTACTTATGTTCAAAATTAAAACATTCGCTTAAAACGTTATCTAAACAGAAATTTAATCCAGTCGCGTACTACTTAAATTTAATACTTATTATTAAGAATTTCTTATAATTGATTTTAATTATTTTCTATAAAAAATTTTTCTTTTACAATCCATCATGGCTGTATGTGTGTCTGCTTTTTACAACATATTAGTTCGAGTTGTATTATTATCTATGGAAGAATTAAAAAATCAAAATCCATGACTGTTGTGTTGTGAATTTATATTGCATTTATTTCCACGACAATGTGATGAAAAACATTGTATATATCACGGCCGGTAAACAAATACAAAGCTCGAGTTTCCGAAGCCCTCAGCCTTTGGCTTCGGGCTTCTAATGGACCCTCGTTAGTCATTTCTTATTTACCGTCGTTAATACACACTTACTTAAATCCTGTGATATTGCGCTCTCTCTCTCCCACTTGCTTAGTGTTGAGCGTACGCGACTCGTGCGCAAACTCATTATCGATAAAAACAAAGGAGTCACTAAAGACTCGGAGAAAGGAGAAACTAAAGATCCTGTGAAATTAGGAAGTATTGATTTCTTTACTAGTTTCAGGTTTTTAATATTGTAAATTTGTATATTTAATTCGTATTGTATGTATTAACAACTCAAATATTTTTTATTTCGGTTCCTATTTTCAGTATTACAACAAAATTAAACGTCGTCTATATCGACCATTAATTCATCAACTGCAGTAATGCACAGCCGTGCGTTTAAACAAAATGGCCGTACCCTACTGGTAAATGGGACAGGAAGCGCAATATCGCTGACCCGCTCCGACATTATATTATGCCCGAGTCTGCAGCGAAAAAATAAGCATACTATAGTAGTAGTTATCCGAGTAATGTATATAGAGTATTAGTTTCATGGCCACAGTCGCTTTTACAAAGTAAGGACATTATAGGAACTAAACAATAACTTATCTTCATCACACAACTGTCGAGAAGCTGGAAAATACGGCTACAAACAAATAAAACGGACCACCGCTGGTTTTTACGTTTGATGGTGTTGATTTCTGGTGTTAGCGCTTCAAAATTATTCAGCTATGAAGTTTTCAAACTATGAATTATTCACGAGGATGCTGTCCCGTAGGCTTGTGTAATTATTTATTGAAATCAAATATAAATTTTGCAATTACAATTGTGATTAGTGCTATTATTTCAATGGCTTTTTATGATTTTTACAATTTTTTAGTATTTTTTTTTTGTTAACTTTTACAAATTGGACGATTTTGAGACATGATACTTTAGCATCTGTTTTGAAGACTTGTTAATATACAATTTCATTTTAAAGATCAGACGTAAGCCAACATTGCACTAACCTTTTATTTTCTGATTACATTCCATATGTACGTATTACATTTTATATATAATTTACTACTTTAAGAATAAACAATACATATGTAATATGCATACACAATATAGAGATCTGAAATTCTGTAATAAGCTATTGCATTTAAAACTTAATTTATTATTAAATATAATGGAAAATACGTATGCAATATACATAATATAAAGAACTGAAGCTGAGCAATAATTTAACAATGGCATTTGAAACTTAAATTATTACTTAATAGAATAAAAGAAAACGTATTTAATATACATAATATAAATATTTGAAATGGTACAATTAGATATTGCATATGAAACTTAATTTATTATTTAATAGAATAAAAAATACGTATTATGTAAATCTTCATATACATAATATGAAGATTTGAAACTGTAATTAATATTGATCTCATTTGCGCATAATCTGAGATTTGTCTAACTTATTTTATAACTTTTATGTTTTTTTTATTTAATGTTTCTTGTTTATTCACATACACTGCGTACATACTACATAGAGCATTTATTTTTATAGTTTTGTATATAATATATGAATCATGTTCCACTTACTAGCCAGGTACTGTCGATTCGGGAAAATGCAACTTAATAATCGTTGTCATTATAATGGACAATGGATTTAATTTCAGTTTAGAGCTGTCAAAGTAGCGACAGATTAAATAATTTCACAATGGTGAATTTAATAAGACTTTACTATGATGGTTATTACTCGTGGCATGTGAGAATGAATGGTTCTGATTCTGAAACTGAAATTTAGTCTTCTGTCCTTTTCTTGTGTAGTGACAACGAAAAGGAACATGATATATATAATACATCTAGCACTGAAGTTATAATCGGATTTTTAATTAAATATAATAATAAACTACCGTTTAATGGGTTGCCAGATTTTATGACATAAATAGTGTTGTCTTAAAGGATCGTTCTCACTGAGTCACTCAGTGATCAAAGAATTATATTTAAAAAATCAAAAATTTTATAATAGATTTATGTAAATGACAAAATGTTGTCTTTAAATTTTCTTTTTCAGTGATTCGTTTCAGTAATTGAACTAAACACATCACTAAACAAGTAAACATGGCAACAGTATTTTTCAAAATAACATTAGTAACTCAGCAGTAAATCAGTTTGTATCTCTTATTTAAAATTCGATTATAGCATAATAATGAGTTACTAGACGCCTTTGTCTGGCACTTTTTACCCTAGTGTACGTTTTGGGTACTCAATTCCAGTCTCAAATTGTTTGGCTAACATAATACCCCCAAAGCCCCTTTGACTCTGTACCTGAGAATAGAGCGGAAATGTTACCACATTCACGCATCGCATACCTAAAACGTAGACTAACACACCATAGTTTCTTTCTAATATTGACTGAATGACTTGAGTCCAAAGTCATGAAATAATTTAAAAAAGTTTCTTTGTCAGAGACAGGATACAGTTGTATTTTTAACCTTCACTTGTTGTTAGTACTTAATAAGTTACAACTAGTTTATATCTTCACAAAACCAGTAATTTCTTTCCCTGTTGATTAATTTAACTTTGTCTTATCCAGTCTCAATATTTAAGTTCCTTCTTTTTTCGTTTAGAAATCTGGAATTTAATTTCGTACCAAACTATTTATAGTACAAGTCTACGACATAAAAAAAAATACCAAGGCCAGTATATACCTTAGAGATAGTCAAAGGCCATCCTCTAACTAAGGTATATGACAAATGTCGTCACGCGAAAGCACTACGTCAATTTTATACCGGCCTGCTATTGCATTTAAAAAACTTCTATACTCATAAATAATCTCAATATAACGCTCAAAACAACAACGACACAAAATAGACACGCTTGTATTTAAGAACTTGGAAAATTGTCAGAAAGATGAACAGAGGAACTATTCACGTTACATGTAGTCTCATGCCCAGTATAATAAAACTATCTCAAGAGCATATTAAGATGTTTCTTAAGTCAACAGTCTTTATGTATGAAATATCACTAGGGTACACATCAACATTTACTCATTTGTTATGTATTATTTGAGATTGTCAAAATATCCACATATTAGTAATGCCAAATCATATGGCTCAAGAATTAGTAAGGCCAAATCAATTAAGTAAATGGTCTTGGTTCACGAGATGGTATCATCTTATATGCCGATGATTATAGTCGACTGAAGGACTTGAATCCATGGTCATGAAGTAAATAAAAAATAAAGAAAATTATAGTCTTTTTTTTTTTCATTGCATTATGTGGCTTTTCGCGGAAAACGTTACAGCCACTTACAAGGTATTTTAACTTATTTTTAAAACGGGGAAAATTTTAATTTAGTACCATGGTCATTTTTGCAGTTTAGTCCCCGTCATTGGTACCCAATAGGGAATTTGGAAATGGAATAATACAGGAAAAATTTGAGCTGTACCTCGAAATCTAAATGACACCTCAGCCGACACAGAGTTGATATACATAAATATAGTATTAATATTTAATAGCTCTTTATAAAAACTGGACTACTGCAAAATAAGATTAGTATCTTATCGTAAATTCGGTCAATATACAGTAAAGGAAAAAAAATAACGACAATTTTGTGACAAATTCGACCCCTCCTACGCAAAGTATCGTATGACGAAATTGCCAAGTTTACATAGGAGCGCTTTAAAGTTTTCAATTCACTGAAATGAGCATAACACGTTACTTTAGCATTTCTTAGTTTTATTCGGCAAAGCTCGTTACTCACATACAGTATTATAAAATTCTAGATATCGGTTAGATGATCACTCTATATGAGTAACAAGTGAATTCAGAACTGTAAAACGCTACCCTGTAAACTTGGCAATTTCGACATGCGATACTTTACGTAGGAGGGGTCGAATTATTAATTGGTAAATTAACAAATTGGTCGGGTAATTATTTTCGCACTTAACTAAATTCCAGAAGGAACTTTTGTATTTTACAATTTTGTTACTATTTACAAATACTGCTTATTGTGTTAGTGACTAGCTAGTATTAAGTAGATTGTGATTGTAATATTTTACCCAAATATATTTATTGGAAGCAGCTTTTTGTCTTTTTTTTTCTGCACCATAGCATGGCACTTTAAGCTTTAATGCACCAAGATTCAAGATCATTATTTGCAAATTTTTCCTTAAATTTTAAGTCCGGTGTGCACCTAAATTATTAATATTTGAATATATTATTAATAATTTTATTGTATGTTAGCTAGAGTAATGCAGGTAAAGTGCTGACAATAAAGTACCGTCAAGCAGTATTAAAAAGAAAACATACCCAAAAATGTAAAAAGTTGAGAAGTGGGAATCCTACCAAATGTTGTGATTAGTATTTTACTTTTTTATTGCCAAGCAAATAAAAATATTTTTTTTAATATTAAGTGACGGGATGAACAAGATGGTAAGCTACACGCCTATCCATAACAGTTGCAGTGCCACTCAGAGCTTTAAATCACAAGGATCCGAGGGGCACTGCCACTGCACCTGTCACCCTGAGACATAAAGTGACAAGTCCCATGTACCTGTAATTTCACCAGCACCCTTAACTTCAAAACCGGAATACAGTAATGCTGATTTTACCAGCAATAGGCGGCAGTACTACCCAGGACGAACTCTTTCACAAGCACCTCTAGTGCTACTAAATAACAATACATATATAACAAGTCGACGCAAATTAAAACGGTAACAATCTTTAATACACCCTACGATATCTAACCACACCTCCCCGTAGGTCGCAAAGGCATGACGCGGCGTCGCTGGGAGTACGGCCACGGCGAATTCAAGCTCCGCAGGCTGTTAGAACGTCGCAGATTCACACGAGTGCACTCGGATGACTCTGATGAAGAACCATCACCGATGCTGCCTCCGCCACAACCGCCGGCTAACGCGTGATGCCATCATATTTAACGTCATTTCAAGTGCAACTAACAAGTCATACTTTTATTTTTGTCTAAAGGTTGGTCCCACTGTCGCAAATGATAGAATCATCATTTCAAACCTTTGAAAGTTCATTTTAAGAACAGTGTTGCCGGACTTTTGCGAAGTTAACTTGCCAATTTATGTGTGTTAAGTAACCGATATTCGCCCAAGCCATAAAATCCCTAAAAATCAAGAAAAACAAATCCACAATTCTGCTTGCTGTCGGAAATTTGGGAATATGGCTATACTATACTCTCTTATTTCCCTAATTCCCCACGCGTAGAGATACCTAAGCCCCCAAACGAATTGTTTTACAACTCCTTTCCCCACAAATCAAGTTTGTAATTCCCCAGACATTTTATTAAGTAGCCTAAAATCACCTTTTCCTATTTCAAACATAGCCTAATTTTTAGTCGCCGTACGACCCCTCGAAGAAGCCTAAATGGCGAAAAGTCGCCTAATCTGGCACCACTGTTTGAGAAGACGTTTTCAATTTCCGCCATGCGTCACTATTTAAATTTTTTGACAATACAACAAATTGGCGCGCTTATGTTTCTTTTATGGCAGCGGCTTTGTACTTTAAGCCAATTTATTCCAGAAAGAGACAGTGGATGACACGAAGCGAGTACTAAGATGGATCTTTGATGATAGGTGTAATGAACTGTGTACAACAGATACGTCAGTTCCTTGTAATTTATATCTTTTTAAGTACTACTTCCTTCCTGTAACAAAAGGTACCTAAAGCTCGAATAATTAACCTTCAACTTTATAATCTAGAAAACTAATAACGGCCTGTCACTTAAATTTAAAATTTTCGCACAATATACGAGATATTTCTCTATCTTCGTACAAAAATCTTCTTGTACAAAATGTATTCATGAATATTATCATTGTTGTTAAGGATACCTACGAAGAAGAATAAGTAGTGACATTATTATAGTTATAAAAATCTATCTAGTAAGAATAAAAGCGCCAAGATTTATTAGTATTTGTGTCTAACGTTAGCAAATAATCAACGAATAGCCTTAAATTGTAAAGGATTTGTAATCATATATCAAAACATACTAACAGAGCACCAAACAAATAGATTTAGTGAGATTATTATTAAGATAATTAGGTAAATAACCGAGCTCTAAGCAGCATAGTATTCATTTACGTATCCATTCCCTTTGTTCATTTAATAAGTAGATATAAAATCACTATTTTGTTAGTATAATTTTCGAAAATATTGTCTCTAGAAAGGTAAAACGTGCAATTGGAAAGTATTACAGGAGAGGGATTTAAAGATTTTTTAAGAAAAAAAAAAACAACTCTTCATTTGTTGTATGAAAAAGCAGACACTTTCGACAACAACTACATATAACTATTTAAAATTTTACGAAAAAATTGGCAACCCTGCCAATGTCATTTTACTCTGTCTAAATAAATATATAATATAATAAAATAAAAATAAAAAATATAATAAAAAATAAAATTAGAGTTACTATTTTTTTTCTTAAAAAAATTACTCGAAATCCTGTAATATTTTCCAAATGCATGTTAGACATTTTACCTTTCTAATGTTGATATTATATTTAACTTACTGGCATTATTCAGTTTTCTAAACCAAACACCACTTTTGCTAAAATAATGTTTTAGTCTAAAAGGAATATCAGTTGAAACAATTAAGTCTTAAAATCACATATGAAGTCTCGTAAAAAATTATTTTAAACATAAAACTAGCTTATAATTTTTCATGAAAAACTCAAAGCAATAAAAAAATGGCACAACATTTTATAATACATTTATTCTGTTAACTCGCATGTTTACCAACAATGATAATGATAATAATACCAACAATATATACGGATAAAAAATTAATATTTCGATACCTCCAATGAA